TTTGATCAATCATTAATGCAATGCTTATCATATGGACTTCTATTTAATTTTATTCAATAAATATATAAATAAAAAAATTAATAGAAAGTCTTTTTTTATTAATAAAATAAATAATGTAAGATTATAATCAATCAAACCATCTAATCAAGATTGGATCTTAGACACCTACACTCGATAATCTTTCATTTGCATTAGAGCCATCTAGCCATGCTCTTTATTCTCGATGATCGAGTAAGGGTCTCATGTTTCAATTATGACAAAGGCTTAGTCAATGGGTTAGTGATGTTATCGTCGGTATGGACTTTTTCTATCCTTATATCACCACGATTGATAATCTCTCTAACGAGTGGTAGCATCGTAGTACATGCTTAGATTATTGATGAGACCTTGATACTTCAACTTGTGCTATGTCTCTTATTATCATAGTACAATACTATTAGATCAACAACACTAGGAACCACTTATAGTTTAGATAGAAATTTATGAATCCGGATAGCTTCCTTAGCTACTTCATGATTGCAATAGATTCAACCTCGATTATTAAGTCGATCCTTATTTTTGCTTGGAACTTTTTTAGCTAACAAGACACCATTTAATTTGAAAATGAATCCCGATCGTGACTTAAAGTCATCATAGTTAGTTTGAAAACTAGCATCTATAAACTCTTTCACCATTAGTTCATCTCCTCCATAGACCAATAAAACATTCTTAGTTCTTCTTAAGTACTTAAGAATGTTTTTTACCCATATCGACTTGATATCTACTACATATACTCAAAGCATATGAGACATCAAATCACGTACATAACATGACATACATGATATATCCTATGGTTGATGTGTAGGGAATGCGATTCCTCTTTTCTCTTTTGTTTTATGTGTTAGGAGACTCACTCGTAGAGAGTTTTATGCCATATGGCATTGGAATAAGCCTCTTTTGGTTTCTTCCATACTAAACCTCTTTAGTATTTTATCAATGCATGTGTTTTGTAAGAGCCTCTAACATTATTCATGATCTATGTCTATAGATCTTGATTCCTAAATTGTAAGTCGACTCTCCTATATCTTTCATGGAGAAATTTTTAAATGACCAATCTCTTACAAATTGTAACATAGTAGTATTGTTGCCGGTACGTAATATGTCAACTACATATAGCACAACAAAGACAATTGAGCTCTCGCTAACTTTTTTGTATACACAAAGTTCGTCTTTGCTCTATGAAAAGTCAAACTCTTTGATGTTTTCATCAAAATGTTGATTCTAACTCCTAGATGCTTGCTTAAGTCCATAAATTGATTTTTGTAATTTGTAAATCTTATTTGAATGTGCTTTGGTGACAAAACCATTAGGTTGTCTCATATACATATCCTCGTTTAATTTTTCATTAAGAAAATAGTTTTGACATCCATATGTCATATCTCATAATCATGATAGGTAGAAATTACAAGCATAATCTGAATGGATTTAACTATTGCTACTCGGTGAAAAAATTTCTTCATAATCAATACCTTGTTTCCGATGATACCCATTTTCCACTAGTCCGGCTTTGTACATATGTATATTTTCATCCATGTTAGTTTTTCTCTTAAAGACCCACTTACATCCAATAGGTTTGACACCTTCAGGTGGATCAACCAAAGTCCATATTTGGTTAGTGTACATGGATTCCATTTTGGATTGCATGGCTTTATTTCATTTTTCAAAGTCCATGTCTAACATTGCCTCTTCATGGGTATTAAGTTCATCATCTTATATAGCAGACACATCTTCATGTGTAGAGATAAAAAGGCCATATCTTTCTCGGCTTTTGATGAATCCTTTTAGACCTATGAAGTTTTTGTAACCTATCTACTTGGGGTTCCTTTAATGGAGTATCAATTTTGAGTTTTCTCGAATCTCATCGAGTTCAAATTTCCTCCCACTCGGTTCTAACATCTATAAATTCCTTCTCAAGGAATACAACATGCACGACCATGAACACCTTCCGTTCTTATGGTGGGAAAAAGTAATATGAATTTATTTTTTTTGGATATCCTAAAAATTTACACTTTGTTGATTTAGGCTCTAGCTTATCTTCGTCCAAACATTTTGACATATGCTTCACGGACTTAAATCTTAAGAAAAGATAAATTTTCTTTCTTTCCTTTTCATATCCCATATGGAGTCCGATCAACAAACTTTATTAGAACCTTATTCAAAATAAATATCGTCGTAAGGAATACATATCCCCAAAATGAGATAGAGATATTAGTTCAACTCATTATGGATCGGACCATCTCTAATAGCATCCTATTCCTCCTTTTTGGACACACTATTCATTTGAGGTGTTCCAGGTGGAGTCCATTGAGAGAGAATCTCATTCTCTTTTAAATGATCTAAAAAATTTAGTACTTAAGTATTCTTCACCTCGATTTGATCAAAGTACCTTAATACTTTTGCTTGTTTATTTCTTGACTTCAAACCTAAATTCTTTAAACTTTTCAAATGTTTTAGATTTATGTTTTATCAAATTTACATAACTAAAACGTGATTTATTATTGGTAATGGTTATGAAATAATCATATTCTCCTTTTACACTTATGGACATGGGCCTACATACATCACTATAAATAAGGCCTAATAAATCAATAGTTTTTTTTTTCACATTTTCCACTAAAAAAGGATTTTGTCGTTTTACCTAATAGACAAGATTCATAAGCATCATAAGATTCATAATCAACTTGACAATGCCACGGATAAGTTTTGTTTAGATCATTCACTTTGAGTCTTTTTATAGTTATGTTATGTACGGGTGTGTCTATGCTTGAAATATATAAATTATTATTTGTATCAGCATTTCTATATAAAACATCATCTTTATAAAAGGAATAACCTTTGTTCTTAAATAAAAAAGAAAAACCATCTTGGTCTAAAGAAGAAATGAAAATGATATTCCTAGTTATACTAGGAATGTAATAGCAATTTCGAGTGTAAGCACAAGCCTAGATGGTAGTGCTAACTCATAAGTTGCCTATCGTTAATAGTATAACTCTTGAACCATTACCCACGCACGAGTCAATCTCCCCAAAAATATTTTTTCTTGCTTATTTTAGTCCTTTCAAATTTATGCAAATGTGTGCACCATATCTAGCATCAAATACTCATGATGTACGACTAAAAGTAAAAAAGTTCACTTTAATAACATAAATACTTAAGGTGCTTTTAGAACTCTTTTTACACCCCTTCATGGTACTCCTTATCTTCTATCACATAAAGCATTTTTCATGCTAGAGGACATTCCTCTTATTCATTTTCTAATCAAGGAAGTTTATGCAATTTAAGGCATTACTTCTATTAATCATTGATCGTATCGATATATTGCTAGTCATATCGTGCAATAACCTTGACGAGATAGAAAAGCATATGGTTCGATTAATTAAATTACATAAATAAAATAAATTATAAAAATAAATTATAAATTAAAAAAGTAAAATCTATTTTCGCTCTTTTTTTTTCAAGTTCTATAACCTTTAATATAGGATTTAGGAAAAAAATTTGATTCGTTTTTCTTAATGGGTTAGGATCTCATCTTCTAATAAGCATTAGCCTTGAGTTCTCTCAACAAGTCACACATAAAGGATTAGGTCGGTAAATCCTTACCAATTGCATCCAATATAAATCCTAATCTCATTGGCTTAATAATTTATTATCATTATATGTCTTATGTGAATATTAATCTTTGCTTACAAATTCATTGAACCTTGAGTTATCTTAATAAATCCAACAACTCATTTCAAGTTGGACCTAAATATTCGGGGACATCACATGGCCCATGATTTGATTTCCTTAAGGAAGAAGTGACCTTGAATTATCTCAATAAGCCAACAACAACCAAGAGAGTTCTCTCCTTATAACATTGGAAGATAATTAACTTGATATTTAATTTGAAGGATTTAATATGGTAGGTCTCATCCTACCATGTATACTAGTCGTCAATCACATTAATTCTATCATGCATACTATTAATCGTATAATAAAAACATACATCGCATGCATGACACAAGGATCGATGAATGGTGATGGAGCTTTATTACTAGCCCTTTAGAGCCATAAGAAGACTAGTGGGTCAACAACTTAGGTGAAAAATTATTACAAATTCTTTGAGATTGTCTTTACTTCGGCTTCTTCTTCTTACATCTATTCTAATATTCTATCTTATATTTTTACATTTATTTGAATAAGAAGCCTCGAGTTACATTCTAGGGGAGTAAGAGGAGAAGAGAAATACATCATAATGATAGAGAAGGTAGGACATGCAGGTCCTATTTAACCAAAAATTACAAGCATACGTTCTCATAAATTAGGTTGACTCATCCATATAATTCACCCGTTACTTCAATCACATTGATATATAGCATATTAATGAAACATGTTTCATTTTAATCATAATTATAAATCTATGTTTTGGTCATTTTATAAGCTTATTAAAATTTTTCTAAATTGTAATTTTAAAACTTTTCGAACCTTAAGCCCATTTTTTGCCCATGAGATTTGGGCCTTGAAGGCCCATGAGTCGTCATGCACTAGGCACTAGCCAACGAGTGGCCACTAGCCTAGCATGCTTATATGCACCTAGGCTAACATTGGCCTTTAGCTCGGCACGCTCATATGCACCTAGCTCGACGCTAGATGCTAGCCAATGCCTAGCACTAGCCTTGGTCGGCCGATTGTCCGAGTGTCCCACACGAGCCCGGTTGCTTATAGACTAGTAGCCGACATTACCCTAGCATTAATTGGCCTAGCGTGTACGTATCCGGCCTAGGCATGCCTTGCCCTTGCGTGCACTCGGTGCATTCTTGACATGGGCAAGACACACCTTAGCTCGGTGTGCACCTAATGCAGCCCCTACCATGTCGCACACCCGAGCATATGACTAGCCTACCTAGCAAGCTCTATGTGCACATGGCAAGCTTGGCATGTTATGTACTTTTTTATTGCTCTTCTTATGGTTGCCCTCCTTTATGGTTGTTGTACAACCAAAACCTAGAGTTAGTGTTAAGCCAAAGGCTAGAGTGGTGCTCGACATTATGGAGAAGGATGAAATAGAGGTTCTTTATGAAGAGGTCGGCAAAGAAAGAAGAAGAACAATAAGTATTTTGGTGAAGATGATGGCTAGGATTAAAGGTAGTATATGGTAATAGGAGTTTGTTATTTTTGGTGAGGAGGGTTGATTTAATGATGGAGGGCTTTTGGAGGCTTCGAAAATGGCTATGGTAGTCACCCATTTTTTTCGAGTGTAGATGGTTGCCGCCAAGCTTTGACTTTGGCGTTGAAGATGATGAGTGGGTAGGTTTTTTTAGTAGAAACTACATCTTTAGGTTTTTTTAGGTAGGAATAACAAAATTATAGAGGTCTCTTTTTAGCTCCCTTTTTGTGGCTCTTCTTGTGGCTAGCTTTAATCATAAAAAAACAAATGTTGCTTTTATAGGAGAAATTTAGGATTGAGAGAAATGAGTCATTTTTTTTTATTTTGTATTTTTATTCTTTAATTTTTTTTTGTTTTTATGGTAAATTCCCAAATAAAGTAAAATGACATAAAAAAATAAAAGACAAATAAGAAATAAATAAAATAATAAAAATATGAAAAACTTTTAGGCTATGATAGTTGCCTCCTCTTTACAATACTTATGACACAAAGTCCAATGAAAAAGATATTTTTCAATGACTTTGTATAATCGACTTATAAGGATTTTTTTTTTTTGAATGTCCTTGTTATGAAGGGTGGTCCGTCCCGAAAATTAAATGGTCATATTATTATGACGATCTACCTTAGAAAAGAAATATGTAATATGTGAAAAATTAAATATGCAAGTACATGATCAAGTTAATAATGAGGCTTGCCTTGGAAAAGTAAATATGCGGTATACGAAAAATTAAATATATAGGATACTACCAAGTTGATTAAGGTAGTGAGCCTTAGAAAAGTAAACATACGAGTATATGAAAAAATAAATATGCGATACATGTCCACATTGATTAAGATAACTTGTCTTGGAAAAGTAAATATGTAATGGTCTATTTTTAGGAGACCCTATTTTAAAAAAGTCAATATGTGGTACATAACTAAGTTGATTAAGGTGGCCTACCTTAAAAAAAGTAAACATATACATGAAAAAGTAAATTTACGAGTACATGATCAAGTTAATTAAAGCGACCTACCTTGAAAAAGTAAACATGGAGTACATGAAAAAGTAAATATGCAGTATAGGACCAAGTTGATTACGATGGCCTCGCCTTGGAAAAATTAAATATGCAATGGTATATTATTAGGTAACCCTACCTTAGATGATGGCATATTTTTAGGTGACCCTACCTTAAAAAGATAAATATACGAGTACATGACCAAGTTGATTGAGGTGGCCTACCTTGGAAAGTAAATGTGCAACACATAAAAAATTAAATATATAGTACATGACCAAGTTGATTAAGGCGAACTCGCCTTAGAAATATACATGTGTAGTACATGGAAAAGTAAATATGCAGTAAATGACTAAGTTGATTAAGGCGGCTCGTCTTGAAAAGGTAAATGTGTAGTACATGAAAAACTAAATATACAAGTGCATAACCAAGTTGATTAAGGCGGCATGTCTTGGAAAAGTAAACGTGTAGTACATAGAAAAGTAAATATACAATGCACGACCAAGTTGATTTAATATGCAATGGTCTATTATTAAGTGATCCTACCTTGGATGATGGCTTATTTTTAGGCGATCCTTTATTGGAAAAGTAAATATACAAGTATATGACTAAGTTGATTAAGGTAGCCTACCTTAGAAAAGTAAATGTGCAAGTACATGAAAAAGTAATTATACGAGTACATGGCAAAGTTGACTAAGGTGGTTTGCCTTAGAAAAGTAAATGTGCAATACATGGAAAATTAAATATGCAATACTTGGTAAAGTTGATGAAGGCGGCCTACCTTGAAAAATTAAATATGCAATGGTCTATTATGAGGAGTGAAGGATCATATATCTAATGGAGGTGTAGAATAAAATAAAAAATTTTCTCCTTCTAAAGTTCCCAAGATGATAATGTTAAATCAATTAATCATATATGCACGAATAAAGGCATACATAAAGAATTATCTCTTATAACGTAGAGCTAAACCCTTGAAGAAAAAGAGTTATCCAAGTGTCCGACCTCTATCGATAATCTATGCAATCTAAGCACCAACACAAGAAGCATTCAAAATTAGTAGAGTGCTAGCTCCACCTTTCTAACTTATTTAGTTTTTTTCCCTTCGAAATCTATTCAATGATATTTTTGATAAGTCTAAAAGAGAGGGGAAAGGTGGCATGTTGTTGAAGGATAAAAAACTAATTTCTCATTTTTCTAACAAGTCGGTGTAGCCCTAATCCTTTTTGTCATTTTTCATGTGTTCACTCTCTCTTATTCTCTCTTTGCCTCCTCCTCTTATATTTATATATAAGAGTGTCTTCCTTGTCCTCCAAGGATAAGGAAAGAGGCAACAATGAGTCCCTAAAGGACTCTTGGTTATTGCTTCCTAATCCTCCAAGGATTAAGAGTTATTATACATGTGGGCTTTTTGATCTTATCCTTTAAAACATTCATCCTTATCCAATAAGATTCATGTTTATCTTTCCACTAAAATTTCTTACGGGCTCTTAACTAAACCAATTGGCCCAAACTTCTTTGGCCCAATTAATTAGTTTAGACTATCCAAATAAATTAGGTTAAATATTTTAGGAGGCCTACATTAGGAACCAATTTCCCAAATTACCCTTAAATTAGAATTAGAAAACTAATTTTTCTTTTAGATAATTTACTTCTAAATTTGGAACACACTTCAAAAGTATGAAAATGATTTCTAAAAAGGAAACTTTCCATTTTAGAAAACTTTATATTTTCAAAAACTTTTTCCAAAATACAAGACTTTCAAAATTAGAAACTTTTTTCAACATCTTTGCTTCTCTTCTATTATGTGAATATTTAAACTTAATCTCACCGACTCAATAGACTCTTAAATATGTTGGCAATGTATCAAGAATTAAAGACACCTCTTTTATCTCTTGATATATAAATTAAGATTGACCTCTAGCAAGACATCATAATTACCTAAGTCTCTAGAACAATTAATTAACCCATAATTAACTTTCACGAGCATGGTTACCATACAACTTAGTCCTCATGTCTTAACTCTTAGAGTAAATCAATTATAGTCCGTTAGTTTACTCCTATTGTGGCCATATGTTTCTTGATCGGACATTTATCGAAATGTAATATGATAACTCCGTAAGCATACAAGGAATGACCGAGTGAATGGTAATGAATCTCTAATACTAGCCCCTTCGAGCCATAAGGAGACTAGTGGGTTAAATACTTAGGTAAAAAATTATTATAAATTCTTGAGGATTTGTCCTCACTTTTTATCTTCTTTTCCTTGCATCTATTCTAATTCCTATCTTCTATTTTTACATTTAATTAAATAAGAAACCTTGAGTTATATTCGAAGGGAGTAAGATAAGAAGAGAAATACAATAGAGTAATAAAGTAGGTAGGATGCACATGTCCTATTTATCCAAAAATTATAAACATTCATTCCTATAAACTAGGTCGACTCATCCATACCATTCACCCATGCTTCAATCACATTGATACATGGCATACTAATGAAATACATTTCATTCAAATCATAATTATAAATTCATATTTTGATCGTTTTATAAATTTATCAAGATTTCTCTAAATTTAAATTTTATGAGCCCACTTTAGGCCCATGGACTTTTTAGGCCTCGAAGGCCTATGGGCTTTGATGCCCTAGGCTTCCGGTTGGTATGCTCGTGTATGGCTACCCATGGCTAGTAGCTTGGTGTGCAACCACTTGGCTCGTGGCCTCGTTCGCACCTTGGCCTATGGCCTAGCACGTGAGTGTGACCGCCTAGCCAGCGAGGCTTGGCCTATCGCTCACCCAACGCGTGACCGGTAAGGGCTTTTATGCGTATGAGCACCAACATCCAATGTCGACCATGCACGCCCCTAGTTGTTTTTAACCAAAATTTCATTTTTAAATTCGCATAAAATGCCAAAAAAATAAGATTTATAATCAAACATAGATAATTCATGAAGTTAATCATAATTAATAAAACATACAATCAAAGATTCAACGAAGGCTTCATTACTATTTGAAGGTTCATGGATCCTATGAAGGTGCGGAATAAACAAAAAAAATTTTTATCTAAAGGGCCTAAGATCATACCATTGAATTAACTAGCCATATATTCAAGAATTAAAGTGATAAATAGAGAATTATCTCTTGTAGCATCGGTTTAATCCTTGGTAGAAAAGAGCCATCCAAGTTTTTGACCTTTATCGATAATTAATGCAATCCAGGCACCCACAAAAGAAGCACTCAAAATTTATAGAGTACTAGCTCCACCTTTCCTAACTTGTTTAGTGTTTCCTATAGAAATCTAATCGGGGTAATTTTATGACAACCCAAAGAGAGAGAGAGGAGGTGGCATGTGCTAGGGTTTTTAGGAGAAAACTATTTTTTCCTTTTTTTATGAGTTGATGCGAGTGTGCCCCTTTATTTTTCCTTTGTGCTGAATTTTCTCTCTCCCAAAAAAGCTTTTTTATTTGCTGCACCTCTTTTCCATATTTATAAGGAAGATGCTTTCTTGTCCTCCAAGGACAATAAGTCCCTAAATGACTCTAGGTTGTTAATTCCTAATCCTCCAAAGATTAGGAGTTATTTTACATATGGACTTTTGATCTTTATCTTTAAAATATTCATCCTTATCCAATAAGGCTCACGCTTATCTTCTCACCAAAATATCATTTAGGCTTTTACTTAAATCTATTAGCTCAAAACTATTTTAGCCCAATTAATTAATTTGGACGATCCAAATAAATTAAGTTAAATAATTTTAAGAAGCCAACATTAGGAAATAATTTTTCAAATTACCCTTAAACCTAAATTACAAAACTAATTTCCATTTTAGTTTGTTTACTTCTAAATTTGGAACTAACTTCCAAATTAGAAAAATTATTTCTAAATTAGGAAACTTTTCAATTTAGAAAACTTTTCCATTTTCAAAAACCTTTTCCAAAATAAGAAACTTTCATAATTGGAGACTTTTTCCATTATGTTTGCTTCTCTTTAATCATGTGAATGATTAAACTTATGCATATGACTTAATAGGCTCTTAAATATATTGGTAATGTATGAACAATAAAAGATACCTCTTTTATCTCTTGATACATAAGTCAAGATTGGCCTCAGCGAGGCATCATGACTATCTAATTATCTAGGAGGATTAATTAATCTATAATTATATTTTATGAGTATGATTACCATACAATTCAGATCCTTATGTCAACTTATCATAGTGTGATCTCGAACTAGGTTATTAGTCTTGTTCGATTATGATCACATAAGTTTTTTTTTATTTTTAAATGTCTTAGCTCTTAGAGTAAACCAATTATTCTCTATTGGTGTACTCCTACTATGACCATAGATTTCTTGAGTAGACATTCATCGGAGTGCAATGTGATAACTCCTTTAGCATACAAGGAATTACATATCCTATCTTAGTCATCCACCTACCTCCATTAGATTCCTAATATGCCCAATGAATCTTCCCCATGTAACCTTTTACTAGGTCCATCAAAATAAGGGTTAAAGAACATAAATTCTTTATTAAGATAATCGTGATGACTTCAAGTTTAAGGACTAGTTATACCCATCTCGTATGAGATTTCTATAGATCGAAACAAATGGGCTCTCTTGGTGGGTCAAGTCCAGTGATATGTTTTTTAACATAAATCATCTAAGTCTTTGCTTTGGCATCACTAAGCCAATAGGTATGAAATCTCCTACTACTATCATATAGCATGAGCATAACACTCACAAATATAATTGCATCTAAATAATGCTATGACTTGGAAAATTTAATGATATTATTTATGTGCATTAGTGTTTGTCTCACATCTTTTGATCAATCACTATTGCAAATGTATATCATAAGGACTTCTATCTAATTCTACTGAATTAATAAACATAAAGCATAAGAATTAATAGAAAAACTTCTTTATTATTAATAAAATAAATGGTGCAATAATATAATAACTCAAACCTATTCAAACATGGTTGGATTTTGAGCACCTACACTAATAGCTATCGGTGGTGGCTTGGTATGTGGCTATCAATGGGAGGCTTGGTAGTGGAGGAGGAGATTGATAGAGATGATGACTGGTATGGTTGCATATAAGAGGGCGTTGATGGTATAAATGGATTAAGTGAGGCAAGTGGTGTTTCTTTGGGGTGATTGGATGGCCCGAGTTATGGTGGTGTTAGGATGGTAATTTTAGGTGCAAGCTGTTGTGGTGGCTTATGCAATGAAAGGCTATGAGGTAGGATATGGCGGTAGGTGTTTTTTTAGGAGGAATACATGCCAAGTGTTTGTATTTTAGTCTCTAAAAGACGGTTAGCTTTTGGTTGTTGAGAGATAGGTAGATTGGTGTTAGGGGTTTTGGTTGGAGCTTGGTGGCCAGTAGAATGAAGACAAGAAAGTTAGTTTTAGGGTGTGGCTATGGTTATAGGTCTCTCTCTAACTCTTTCTCTTTTCTTGTAAACGAAGCTTCTTTTGGTAGAAAAGCAAAGGTCTATGTGTGGCTATGTTTAGGGGAGCAAACGGTTAAATGATTCGGTTAAGCTTAATTTAGTTTGGTTTTCGGTTAATCGAATTAGAAAAAATAAAAACCAAAATCAAACCAAATTAAATTCGGTTAATTCAGTTTGTAACCGAATTATTTCGATTTGGTATCGAAATAATTCGAGTTATAACCAAACTTTTGTTCCCGTGAATGATTTTTATTTTTGTGGTATCGAAACTAAATTACTATTAAAAAAATGTAATAGTACATGCTAAAATGGTTTACGGTGTCATTTGTCTTATTACTTGTGTTTCATGTGAGAGCAACTTCTTGTGCGACTCTTCTAGTGCAAGAATTCAATAGAAAACAATACAGGAAGGACAATGTTAGAAAGTCTTATGTAAATGATAGAAGAATTCAAAATTCAAAGTCCATTGCAAGTTGACAAAAACAAGGAAAAATAATAGCCCTAAAATTTCCCATATAGTGCTGAAATTAGAAAAAGATAATACACCAAATACAATTTAAAGTTTGTATAACAAATATCTTGAAAGAGTTAAATTCGAAAGTTTCGGTAACACATCGAATGCTAAAAATATATGGAGTCTTATCACATTTATTTACGATTCTTCTACCAAAACACTACCTAAAGTTGTATATATATATATACACATAACTTTTTAGTTGCATAAAATGTCAACTGCAATAAACGAGTGATCAATAACAAGTGTCTTAACAAACTCGATCCATAAAGAGTAAGGAATGCCAAAACTACAACGGTTGAAGCTCAACCCACTCAAACAATTCTCTATAAGTCGACAAGGAATGAAGAATTACAAGAAAGAAGAGTGAATGGAAGATTTATCTAATACTCATTGGCCATAACAAACCTATTTTGCAAAGTTTTGGACAAGCTATCATAGTAAGTTTTGAGAGAGGGTAGAAAAATGTAATAACATTGAATCCTTGCAACCCGGATCTTATGGTGGGATATTATTCTCATGACACAAAAATATCCAAGTGAAACAGCGAGTTACCTTGTCGAGTATGCGGTGAAGAGCTAGATCATGAAGCTTTGATTGAGGGTTCGTGACATTAAAGCAAAAACAATGAATAAATAAGCCAAAAATAAAAGGTATATGTTATAAATTATAGCACTACAACCTACAAAGTCAACGATACAGGTGTTGTAAAATTGCATCGGCAAAAATATTTCCGGATGTATCCGCATCTACAAGGCATCTTTGAATCAACTATTTCGGGACACGTACTCCGGATGCGGATGAGGTCACCTCATCGAAGCCACTTTGATCATTTTATAGATTTACACCGCAATTCATGTCCCGGTCAAATCCTAACAAAGCACCTCCTTCCATTTTGTTTACTTGGTTACTTTTAATAAGAGCATCTAAAGCTAGGTGATTTATCTTTATATAAACAATTTACTCTTGGTTATTGACAATTAAGGCCAATTAACATCTTCCCGGATCACATGCCCCACCCCGAAGAAAAGGAGAGAATAAGGGGGAGAAAAAAAGAAGAAAAAAAACTCGAACCTTTAATTGCACGTAAAGTTTCCTATATGCTCCAGGGTATGTTAGAATAGGTTTTTGAACCTATTTCAAAACAACTAGTAAGTTAACAAACAACAAGCAAAAGAAACATATAGTATTGCTAAAGAAATTAGAAAATCTCATAACTTACCGGAACTAAGTTCCACTTTTCTTGCCAAGGAAAACATAACGATCTCAAGATTTCAATAATTTAGGAGTTTTCCTAATTTGTTTGCAACTCTTTGGAACTAACCTCATCAGCAAAACATGTAGATTCTTCATAATTACCTCCTAAATATGGAACACCATCATCGGATATCCAAAGCACTGCGAGAATCAATATATGTTTAAGCTGGGATGGAAAAAATTGTAACACGATTTAAACATACAAAAATAACTCTTGACCGATGGAAATAAATGACTTCAATTTTGGCTAATTGGCCACCATCATGACAAATACCAGCATTGCCTATGTTAGAGACATTGAAGATCACCCTAGGACTTCTATGCCCGATCTAATGGCATTCGACTGATTTTTTGAATTGTTATAGGCACGGATCTTACAATATTGCATTAAATGTGCGTGTGAAATATTCTCTAAAATTTGCTACATGATCCGACATAATAGAACCAATCCTAATCATCCAAAAAATAACAAATTGATGTCTAAAATTGCAAGGAAACTAAACAACTCATCTAAAATCAATAAACTCAAGAATAAAAAGAATGCACCAAACTCACCAAACCGGACGTAGTAACAAGAAGGCACTAGGCGTAACTAGACACACCAAACACACCAAAGGCGAGTAGATGCAAGTAACCGAAGGCGAGTAGGCAAAAGTGCTAGAAGGCACTAGGCGGAACCAAATATGCGAGAGACAAGAATAAGAGTGACCGAGTTTGCTCGTTGCTAACTTGTCGGAATGTTGAGCGCCGGTCGTTGCGTGACTTCGTCTATGTCGAAAGGAAAGGAAAGTCGAAAGAGGCAACTAAGGGAGACAGGGAGAGGGAGTTACCGAGTTAGGGTTATAACTTATTCTTAGGTATTTAGAAATTAGAATTAGGAATAATAAAAAAAATATTTTTCGATTCAAACCATTTCTTAAAAAAAAAACCAAACCGAACCGAAATTATTTTGATTTTTTCGATTCGGTTATAAAATATATATTTTTTAATTTATACCCAAACCAAATTTCATAATTTGATTTGGTTTAATTCAATTTTTGATTAATCGAATCCTTTGCTCACCCCTCACTATGGTTATGTTTATTGGGGAAAATGGAGCTTAAAGGTGGTCGTTTGGTTATGTGACGGTGAAGCCTTTGTAAAGGTGGAAATAGCAAGAGGTTGAAGATGATCCTAAATTTTTTGGATGTGGCTATAGAGATCTATGAAGGAATGGGTGGCTACAATGTTTAGTTTTCCTTCCTATATATATATATATATATATATTTTTTTTTTTTTTTTTGCTTGCTAGATTTTTTTTTTTTAGAGTAAGAGTATTATGGAGGCCACCTTGTTGCTTTTTTTATCGATGCCCCCCTTTGTACCTGTTGTGCTACCAAAACCTTGAGTTACTCGTTAAGCCAAACGCTAGATCGGAGCTTAGGGTTTTAAAGAATGATGAAACGAGAGGTTCGTTATGGAGAGACTGGCGAAGGAAGAAGTGTTTCTGCTGCGATAATGGTTTTTTTTTCTTTTTATAGAGATGATGGCTAGGATTAAAGATAGTATATGGTAAATGGAGTTTGTTATTTTTGATGAAGAGGATCGGTTTAATGATAGAAGGTTTATGGAGACTTAGGGAGATGGCTATGGAAGTCATTCATTTTTTTCAATGTAGATGGCTACCAAACTTTTATTTTGGCCTTGAAGATGATGAGTGGGAAGGTTTTTTTTTTTTTTTAATATAGAAACTACATCTCTAGGTTTTTTATGGGCGGGGAGAAAACATTCAAGGTTAAAAGGAATGAGTCATTTTTCTTTTTTGATTTTTATATTTTGTATTTTGTATTTTTTATTCTTTTTTATTTATTTATTTTTTTTGGTAGTAAATTCCAAAATAAAGTAAAATGAAATAAAATACAAATAAAAATAAAAAATAAAAAATAAAGGAAAATTTTAGGTTATGAAAAGTAGATATGAAAAATCCTTATTTTAATATAGGTTTGATATTTGCAAATAAACATGTATTGATAAATGCATTGAACAAGTAAATTATTAAAATAGAAAGGGATTTTAGGTATGTAAATGATGACAAAGGTAAAGGTAACTACCGAGTATAGCCTAAAATATGGGTGGAGAATTCATGCTGTAAAGGTAAGTAATGAGAAATCTTTTTAAGTTAGTACATATGGGAAAAAACATAATTGTGTCTAGCATTTCAAAAATAAACATGTGGAGGAAGAAATGGCTAAGTATATATGGTGCATTTTAGGGATGACAAGAAGGGGAGTTTAAGGGCATTTATGAATGATATTGGTAGCGATTTGAAATTTGGTGTATCAAGATCAAATGCTTATAAGAAATGAAAATTATCTCTTCAATAAGCTATTAGAGATTATACTTGAACAATATGGAAGATTATGGAATTATGTTGAAGTATTTGAATCAACCAATGCTGATACTTATTTGAAAATTCAAGCTATTTCACTTGTACTAGGATTGAATCTAGTTTTTAAGTATATGTTTATGAGTTTTAGTAGTCAACTTGAAGGATTGCATAGTGGTAGAAGATTGATTGAGATCAATGGAACTTTTTGGAACTAGTTTTATAGGGGTCAAATCTTGAGCGTAGCTACAAGGGATGCGAATGACAACTTCTATTGAGTTGTATTTACAATTGTTCAACAAGATAGCAACACAAATTAGACTTGGTTTCTCGGTGATCTTTTCACATGAATTGGAGCTACAAAGATACATGGTTGGGCTCTAATATCCGAAAAGAAAAATGTAAAATTTTTTTCTTTATTTATTTTCTTTTTTAAAAATATTTTTTTTCAAAACTAATTGTGAGGAATCTATTTTGGAGTGATCGAGAGAGACCTTGAAAGATCCTTTTCCTACTATCTATTAGATATTGTGTTAGGCATCTTTATGCCAGCTTTAAAGATGCTAGACAAATAAGAAAAGATCTCAAGAATTTTTTTTATAGAAAACGAGTAATAGCTACACTACGAGTGAGCATAAGAAGATAATGGAAGACATGCAGAAAAACTATGCACATGCACATGCATATCTTTCAAACATTAACCCAAACTTGTGGTGTAGTTACACATTTAATCCATAAACTATGATAGATTTTGAGGTGAATAATTTAGGTTAAAGTTTCAATGCATACTTCCCGAAAGTAAAGAACAAACCTATAATCTACATGATTCAAGATATAAGGATAAAAATGATGGAGAGATACCACAAAAAAAAGAGTAGGAATTAAACAACATTCATATCATGTTTGTCCTTTTTTTTAAAAAAAAAACTTGAGAAGTTGAATCAGTTAACCTATGAATACAAGCCTATCCATGCTGGAAATGAGATATATCAAGTTGTTTATGGATCTAAAAGGTTAGTTGATATTAAAAATAGACTTGTACATGTAAAAAATAGCAACTATTTGGAATTATTGTTAGAATGCGATCAATGTAATCTATGATGCATATCAATAACTCCGAAGAATAAAGTGTTACACAAAAGAGGTATTGATGAAGGCATATGAGCCAATTATATATCTTGTACCTAGTAAGGATCAATGCTTTACAACTAGATATGCAAAATTATACTATGGGAAGTTAAAAAGCTAGTTGGTCCACCAAAAAGAAAAAAAGGGCCAAACGAACAAAAGACAAGATATATGCCAAAATTTAGACTTTAATTCAAAAATGTTCTAACCGTGGACAAACAAAACATAATATTAAGAGATACACCAAACTTGTGGTTACAAAGCCTTTGAATATTAGGAACAGGTTCTGAAACTAGAGTTGTTATTATTGATGATAATGGACCTTTAAATATAGATCTTAGATCTACTACTAGAAAAGTTGGTCCTATAGATATGAATACCTAAAGGGAATAAAAAAAGAGATCTAGTGGTGGTTGTGAAGTTGCCTTTTCAAATGCAAACACCTTAAAGAAATCAATAAAGATATATGTTATTGTTGTTGCTACTTGTGGTGGTAGTGATGGTGAAGTCGGTCCTTTAGGTACACATACCATAAATAAATTAGTAAGAAGATCTTCTATTGATGCTACTCGAAGTTTTTCAATCATAAACAATGATATGTTTAAAAGTTTAACTTTAACTAGTTTTATGTGGATTGAGTGTTTTGTAAATCTAAAAGATTTTTTTTTATATGGTTTGAGTAGCACACTAAACAAAATGGCAACTACCTAAAGTTGATTGAATTAGGTCATGGTGTTGGCCTTGTTTTTTAAAGTTAGACAATAGTTTTTTATTCTAAAAAATTTGACATTGGCTACTAATTTTGATACTAACTAAATAATATTCATATGTAGCCAAGTAAAGTTGGAAAGACTGCAATCGGTTATGAGGGACACGAAATAAGGATAAAGTAGGGGTAGGAGTAGTGGTAGAAGAAAAAGACTTTAGTTTATGTTGAAATATTAGGTGGTCCATAATTTTGTATTTTTTATGTTGATTGTTGGAACAAGAGCTTTGTATATGGTTAGAATAGTTTAAAATTGCTCCTCGAATTTTGTTTTATTTTTATTATCAAGAGGCTAAGTGAAGCACTTATGTAGTTTTTTTCATATTGAAAACAGTGCTATCAAACTTTGTTAAAGTTAATACCATTAGAATAGTTATTTTTTTTTCATATATGGTAATGATATTCTCCAAATAATTTACTAGTTATATACTTGTTATACTAAAGTGCTTTTGGAGGGCCAATCTAAATATACATGTTTGAGTGATGTCGGATTGAGATATGCCAAACCATGCAAAAGCTTCAATACACAAGCACCAACTAAATAACCCTAGGCCAAAATACCCTAAGTATAAACCAACCTCAAATTCACTCTAAACAACCCTTAAGCAACACATAATCATAAGCAAATATACAATCAATTAACTCCTCAAACATAAACACAATTACAACCCACAATCTCCGAACAACAAACTCACAAACCCGAAACCGAGAGGTGTGTTACATAAAAATTAAATTTAGCTAAAACTTTACCATAACATAGATAATATATAGAGGTATGTGTGCATCAAAATTATAGTCAATCTAAGTCCTATAGCCCTTTATTTCACTAAGTCAAAATTCTGAATAGAATAGATTCTAAAATTTACAATGACTTTCACAACACAAAAACCTAATCAAATATTTTTTTTCTAAATTTTTTTTATCGAAGATAAATCAACCCCTTAATAATCAATTGTCAAAATTTCATACTAAAAAAATCTCTAGCCTTTATTATTATCTTTAAGACCAAAACTATTTAGTTTTGGAATCAAGATTAACCCTCAATTTATCAATCAAACAAAATAAAAGCAAGCCCTAATGTCTTAGCCCTATGAAGAGTTCTCCACTCAAGTTGATTTAGAGAGTACTTATAAGATCGTTCGCTAAGAGTCTACCCGATGCAATTGTTATCCGAGCAAATCTTAGTCGATCACTTTAAGGATGTGTTTTATATATTCCTAGCCAATCCAAAAAAGAAATACATAAAGAAGTTATAAAGAAAACTCTTTAATTTTTCATTTAAATTTTATCAAAATTCTACTAAAAGAAATCACAAAGAATGCTTAAATACTCACCCCTAAGACCTAAAAGATTCAGCTAGGGTGA